CCGCCCCCCTCTCCGCCTCGGCTCCAAAGAACATGGGGACCCGAGCACAGTCTACATGTGCACACACAGACACACAAACATGCAGACAGACTCACACAAGCACGCAGGGGGACCGACCGACTGACCGACCCCCATCTGCCAGGACAGCCGGCATCCCTCCCCCAGACCCGGGCGCCGTCGACGGGCCGGATGGGAAAGGAGACCACTCAAAACCTGGCATGTGATCTGGGTCACATGCGGATCATATGTTCAGAGCACCGGGAAAGACCCGCAGGGCGCGGTGGCGAGGAGATGCATGCTCCTCCTCTTCTTCTCTCTCGCTCTCCCCCACCCACTCCTCCAAAGGGGGACACTCTGTGTTTTCTTGTGTATATATTTTGTGTGCATACTGGAAGACTGATTGCTATGGTCTAGGGAGAGGGGAGAGGGAAGAGGGCTAGAAGGGCTCTCTGGTTCTCGCCTCGCCTGGCCCTGCTTGGGCCCCCTCCCCGCGGATATGTGTGCAGCAGGGGGGAAGAGGGAGCAGGGAAGGGGAGAGGAGGGGGTGGGGATGATGGGTGTGTGAAGAGGAGGGCGGCGCCGCAGGGGAGGAGGAGAAGGGAAGCGAAGGAGGAAGCAAGTGAGAAAGGCGCGCGCACTGCCGAAGTCAGTGGTGTGCCTATCCCCGCGGCGCCTCGTCTCCTGGCGTTCTCGTCTCTTCTGTTCCTCCGCCGGGGCCCCTCTTGGCCAGGCCCCGGGGGGGACATGTACCCCTCTGGTCAGCGCCCTCAGGCTGAGAGTGCGTGGCTGCGCCGGCCCCGACGTCGAGACGACTCACAGGTACTTGCTCGCTGGCCATCTCTCTCCCTCCGTAGCTCTCTCGTGCGGGCACACAGAGCTCTCCGACCACAATCCGAGAGGTGGCCCCGCTCTGCAACCGCGACAGTGGCACCTCTCTCTTGCAGGGAGGGCACACAACAGAGGCCGGCAGTAGAGAGACTAAGAAAGGGAACCCGAGGAAGAGGAGAAGGGGGACAAGGGAGAGATGAAGAGGGAGAGAACACCCGGCGCTGGGGGGGGGGGTGCGCAACCCCCCACATCCTCATCCTGTCGTCGCCACAGAGCCGTGGGCAGTTGGACCGACGAAGGAAGCAGGAGGAAGCAGGAGGGAGGGGGAGGGAGAGAGAGAGAGAGAGAGAGAGAGAGAGAGAGAGAGAGAGAACGCGCGCACGGAGGCGGTCGCCCCCCGCCGGACTAAACACGCGCGCCATTAAGCAGTGGCGTGCTTGGTGCCGGCCTTGTCGGTGGTCGAGATGCGCTCAACCAGCTCATGGCGGAAGTGGCGGATGAGACCCTGAACAGGCCAGGCGGCGGCATCACCCAGGGCGCAAATGGTGTGACCCTCGATCTGCTTGGTCAGCTCGAACATGGTGTCGATCTCCTCGTGGGTGGCGTGGCCCTTGGCAAAGCGAGCCATCATGTTGTCCAGCCAGGTGGT